TTACCAATAACATTTACACTGAAAACTCTAACCCAAAATGAGAACGAATCCTCAGTTGAGGGCAGTATTTTTACTAGATATAATTGGAATGTATCAAAAAAGGATCAATTCCACACATTTTGGAAAGGAGAAACTGCAAAGCTCTTGGTAGAAAGATTTCACACTTTAGCAAATATGGGAAATACTATTGAAGCTGCTAATATTTTATCTGATTTGTTATTTAACGCGGATGATGGCATGAAACGTAAATGTAAATTGCCACAGACTATAAGAAAGTTTGATAAGAAAAGTAATTGGTTCGACGATTACTGCAAATATATGAAGCAACAGACCAGAAAAGCCCTAAATCAGTTTCGAAATTGTAGATCTGTTGTTAATCTTGAAAACTATATTACTCACAGAAATAATTATCGTATATTGCTAAGGGACAAAAAGATATTATTTAACAATCTCAAAAAACGTGAAGTTTACATCTCTGAAAACAATCAGAATACAAAGGAATTTTGGAATTTATTAAATAGTAAGAAAAGTGGCTCATCTACAAAAATCCAACCAAGCGCATGGCATGTTTATTTTTCTCAACTCTTTGCGAGTACAGATTTGAATTATGGGAATGAAAGTAACATGTTTTTAGAAGAAGTTCAAGACTATCTTAATAATTTATTAATTTTGCCAGAGTCAAATGCAGTTATTGACTACTATCAGATTTTAGATCAAGCCATTACAATTGTGGAATTGGAACATGCCCTTAGTCGGTTAAATGCAAATAAGACAGCTGGTATTGATGGTTTATTGCCGGAAATATTTAAGCATATTCCTATGATATTTAAACAATTACTTGTTAAACTTTTCAATACAATACTTAATACTGGTATATTCCCTCCACAATGGGTGCATGGTTTAATTATTCCTGTCTATGAGAAGGGTGAAAGAGATTCAGTTAATAACTATAGAGGTATTACATTATTGCCTTCGATTACAACAGTTTTCAGTGATATTATATATAATCGTCTGCTTAATTGGGTGAACTTGCACTATCCTACAGTGGAAGAACAGGCTGGTTTCCGTAAAAATTATTCATCAGTTGACAATCTATTCGTTTTATCGACCATTATTGATCGTTATTTGTAATTAGGAAGTAAATTATACTGGGCATTTATAGGTTTTGAAAAGACATTTGATAGGATTAACAACACCTTACTCTTTTATAAACTAACAAAATCGGGAATGGGTGGCAAACTATTTAAAGTATTGAAGTCCATGTACCAAGATATCAGGCATGTGTTCGCTCCCCAGTAGGTATTTTCTGAA